CTCTGTGAGGTAGGCGGGGCTGAGAGAGCTCTGAGGAGGAGGAGATTGGATTTATCCCCCATGGCCCTTCACTACCCGAAGGTGTCTCAGAGCGGCTTACAAACTCCTTTCCCTTCCCCTCCCCACAACAGACACCCTCTGTGAGGTAGGCGGGGCTGAGAGAGCTCTGACACAAACGGCTCTTTTTCAAGGACAGCTGTGCCAGAGCTTGTGACTGACCCAAGGTCACATCAGCAGGTGCAAGTGGAGGAGTGGGGAATCAAACCTGGTTCTCCCAGATTAGAGTCCGCACACTTAACCACTATGACCACTAGCTGTGAGGTAGGCGAGGCTGAGAGAGCTCTGAGGAGGAGGAGATTGGATTTATACCCCTTGCCCTTCACTACCCGAAGGTGTCTCAGAGCGGCTTACAGACTCCTTTCCCTTCCCCTCCCCACAACAGACACCCTGTGAGGTCGGTGGTGCTGAGAGAACTCTTGACAGAAACGGCCCTTTTTCAAGAACAGCTCTTATCAGAACTACGGCTTGCCCAAGGTCATCCAGCAGCTGCAAGTGGAGGAGTGGGGAATCAAACCCGGTTCTTCCAGATTAGAGTCCTCCACACTCTTAACCACGACACCAAAGAGCCAGAGCCCAGCAGCACCTGAAAGACTCACAAACTATGTGGCCAGAGAGGAGAAGTCAGTCGCTGCAGTCCCTTCTTCAGCTGGAGTCGTGACCTTTCTCCGCCTCAGACCCCAGAGAGCGGCTGCCAGTCTGAGCAGAGGGACCAGGGCAGCTCCTTGTGTTCAACTCCCCGCCATAGAAGGATGCAACTTTCTTCCCCCACAAAGTATAGAAGGGACCCAATTTCCAGGAACAGAAATGACACTTATTTTATCGCTTCATTGACCTCCCCGCCTTCCTCCCCAGTGGGCAGCTGACCTCATTCTCCTGCTTTGTCCTCACAACGACCCTGAGAGGTAGCATCGGTTGACGGGGTGTGACTGGCCCAAGGTCACCTAGCAAGCTTCCAAGGAAGATCCGAACGCGGGTCTGTCTGATCCCAGTCCAGCACTCTAAGCTCTGCTCCACACTGGCTCTCCAAGGCGGATGTTCACTATTTCAAATTATGCAGCGTGCATCTCCCGACAGAACGGAGGCAGTTTGGTGTAGCAGTTGAGTGTGCAGACTCTAACCTGGGAGAACCGGGCATGATTCCCCACTCCTCCTCCACAGGCAGCCAGCTGCTGGATGACCTTGGGCAAGCCACAGTTCTGTCAGAGCTGTTCCCTCAAGGACAGTTCTCAGCCCCGCCTGCCTCACAGAGTGTTGTGGGGAGGGGAGAAGAGAAAGGGGTCTGCAAGCCGCTCTGAGACTCCAAGTGAAGGGTATAAATCCAATCTCTTCTCCTCCTCCTCCTTATAAAAAAGGCCTATTGCACAACACCCTCAAACCAGCGGCTGGACAAAAGCCCTCCCCAGAGCAGCAGGGAAGTGTTCAAATACAGCAAAGAGAAGAAACACAGCAGAGCTCCTCAGGTCGGAGCCCATGGCCTTCACCCAGGTAGGGGCCCAGCTCTGCGCCCCCAGCCCTCCAAGAGAGGGGCGGGGCTGAGCGCCATCCAAGGGTGCAAAGGCCTGAGCTGTGGGGCTCCAACGGGGCCGGCCGGGTCCCCCAATCCCTCCACTAGATCCTCCCAGCCGGCCTCGGCCAGAGGTCTGTTTATTGGGCCTGAAGCTCCGACACCTTGCCTGGATTAGGCCTGGCAGGGTGAGGAAACCCACGCTCAGCCCAGCAGGCGGGCGGGCAGCCGGGCCCAGCCGTCCCATCCGGTGGAGCCCATGGCCTTCACCCAGGTAGGGGCCCAGCTCTGCGCCCCCAGCCCTCCAAGAGAGGGGCGGGGCTGAGCGCCATCCAAGGGTGCAAAGGCCTGAGCTGTGGGGCTCCAACGGGGCCGGCCGGGTCCCCCAATCCCTCCACTAGATCCTCCCAGCCGGCCTCGGCCAGAGGTCTGTTTATTGGGCCTGAAGCTCCGACACCTTGCCTGGATGAGGCCTGGCAGGGTGAGGAAAGCCACGCTCAGCCCAGCGGGCAGGCAGGCAGCCGGGCCCAGCCGTCCCATCCGGTGGCCTGCAAGCGTCTGGCGGGCCCAGTGAAGGAAACCGGCCTCTCGTGCACAACGTTCCCCGGCATGAATGCTCCAAGACTGCCAAAGACCCAGACGCCTGCCCTTTGCTTGCACCACGCTCCCTCTAAGCTGTGAGCAGAAACTCTGCTTTGCAAGCAACTGGCATTAAGGTTGGGAGCGAGCCATTCGGCTGCTGCAGACATTAGTTTGCTCTGGAGCCCTCCTTCCTGAGCTAAGACAAAAATGTGCGAGCCGGAGGCTAAAAAACTGTGAGCCTAGCTAGCTAGCTCACACTAAGTCAGCTTAGAGGGAACGACACTGAGGTTTCAGGCCCAGCCAGCTGATCCATGGAAGGGGCTCACCCTCCATTCTTTCAGCAGCCCTTCCTCTCGGGGAAACCAGCGTGGCCTCCCAGGGCTAGGATCCCAGGCCCACTCACAGAGGCAAGGGCCCCGGAGGGACCCCTTGGAACCAGTGTTCCCTCTAAGCTGAGTCACTGGGATCTAGCCCACAGTTCTTTAGCCTCCGCCTCATACCTTTTTGTCTCTGCTCGGGAAGGAGGGCTCCGGTCCAGAGCAAACTCCCAACTGATGCAGCAGCCAAACTCCAGCTCACGACTTTAATGCCGGTAGCTTGCAAAGCAGAATTTTTGCTCACAGGACTCCACGGCTTAGAGGGAGCATTGGAAGTTGGAACACCCAAGCCTACAGGGATGGAGGCCCCCTGAGTGAAACAAGCCTTGGGGGGGGGCATAGGAGCCAGGATGGACCCCGCTTGCCTGCCTGCCTGCCTGCTCTTGGGGGGGGGGTGATCCTCAAGCAGAATAAGCACCCCCACCAGCAGTGTTCCCTCTAAGCTGAGTTGGTGTGAGCCAGCTCACAGTTTTTTATCCTCCAGCTCACCCATTTTTGTCTCAGCTCGGGAAGGAAGGAGGGCTCCAGAGCAAACTGATTGATGCAGCAGCCAAATGGCTCCCTCCCCACTCTAATGCCCAGCAGCTCACAAAGTAGACTGTTTGCTCACAGGACGCCACAGCTTAGAGGGAGCCTTGAGTCCTCCACGCACCAAGCCCAGCCCTTCTCTGGCCTGCTGCACCCAGGTAGCGTCACCTGAGCATCACCTGCACGACTGTAGAGGCTGGAGCACCTCTCTTCGCATCACTCTCCTTGTCTCTGGAGAAGCCAGCTCCGAGGCGGCCACAAAGGGCGTGAGTCTCCTGGCACAGGGCTACCCGCCTGGGTTCTTGCCCCAAGGGCGGCGCTCTCCCCTCTGCTGCCGACGGGTCCGGCCCCGATTCCGGAGCCCGGCGCCGCCTCCTTCCCCTCCGACGCCGCCTTTCTCCTCGGCTGCAGCAGGGTCGCGGCCCCGGATGGGCTCCCACCCACCCGCGCGCCCCCCGCGCGCCCAGCCGCGCCCCTCCTGGCCGGACACCGGCGGCGGAAGCTCTCCCCGCGCACCAGG